ATTTGTCTGGAGAAAACACACTGTGTGTGTGTGTGTGTGTGTGTGTGTGATTTAGGTGAAAGTTGACAGAGCAAATTCACTCTCCCTACAGCAGTTCATACACGTTTTGTCTTAGGACATTGACTGCAATCCCCACAATGTAACAGCTCTCTTCCCACTTCCTCCCTGTAATTACCTCTTCCCGTGTCCTCTCCATGCGCTGTCTCCCTGTGCAAACACTGCCCCTTTGTTCTCCCACAATTGATTGCTCCAAGGAGTGTATCTACCTGATGTGAGTGTTCACCATATAGGCCTGTAGCATAGTGCCTAAGGCACTTGACTGCTAACCAGAAGGCTGGCGGTTCAAACCCACCAGCCACTCCTCGGAGGGAAGGTTGGGCATTCCTACTTCTGTAGTGATATTGCCTCGGAAACCCAAGGAGGGGTCACTATGAGTCAGGGCCGACTCGATGGCAGATAACAACAGTAACAACATTGGAAAACAAACTGTTTAAATGATTGACGTTAACCTGAAGTATGGCGTACCTTGTTTTATTATGCTTCACTTTATTGTACTTCGCAGATAGTACGTTCTTCACACGTTGAAAGTTTATGGCAACCCTGGGCCAAGCAAGTCTGTCAGCCAGTCTTCCAGCAGTCTGTGCTCACCGTGTGTCTCCCTGTGTCCCTTTTTGGTCGTTTCTCATGATATGTCCGTTTTTCATCATACTGTTGCACACTTTGTAGACTACATTGTCATCTAAACAACTTTTATATGCACTGGGAAACCAGAAAATTCATGTGACTCACATCACAATGGGCTGGAATCGAACCTGCGATAACCTCCAAGGTCTCCCTGAATAAATTCCTGGGAAGAGCCAAATGGTTGTCACATCAACCAGGGCTTCAGCGTGGTTCAGCCACTGCTGACAAAGCGACACTGTAATGGACCCAGTTTTTTAAAATGTGGGTGAATGGGAGTGCTAACTGTACCGGGAAAAATTACAGGTCGAAGCCCTGCCAGAAACTGAGTCCGTCTTAGAAAACAAGGCCAGGTGTGTGTTGCATAGCAACCAGATCTCTTGACCAGCTGTTGCCAGAGTTGGAGGCCTCAAAGATGGCGGCCCACTGGACTGCTTTGAATGTGTGTCGCGCGCCACGATCCTGGCCACCAGCCCACCTCCCGTGTCAGGCTCCTGAAGGAGCTTCTGCACCTCCCCTTCCAGGGCCTCAGCATGTAATCTGGTTTTGCTTCATCGGCCGTGCCTGAACCAGTTTGAACTGGTTTGAAACCCTGATATCAACCACATTTCACCCTCTACAGTTTGCACGCACCCGCGCTTTTGTACTAGAAAAGAAATAGTACGGTTTTGTGTGCGATTCCTCTCCTTTGTCCAACTGATTCCTGTAGGATGAGTTCAAATACCTGAGGTGGAAGAGTCGCGGCAGGGACTGCAGGAAAGGCAGAGTTACGGTGAGGTCAGGAGACGAGGCTTCTGCTTGTGGCCGGCGGTGGGCTGGGAGGGGAAGATGGGAAGGGCCTTCCAGGCCCGTAGGCGGGTTTGGACTCTGGGAGCCATCTAAGGTGTTAAGAGAGAGTGGCTGTGATTGGTTTTGTTTGGTAGAAGTGGCTCTGGCTGTGGTGTGGGACTGAGTCAGGTTGAAAGTGCAAGTCCGAGCTTGTTGTCAGGTGCTGTCGAGTCATACCCAACTCATAGCAATCCCATGTACAACAGAAGGAAGCACTGCCCAGTCCTGGGCAGCCTCACAGGCCTGCCCGTCCCTGAGCCCGTCATGCAGCCACTGTGTCCACCTCGCTGAGGGGCCTTCTCTTTTTCTCTGGCCCTTGGCTTTATTGAGCATGATTTAAAATTTTCAAAGCTCTTACTGTGAATTATTAACCATCCTATAACTAAGGGCTAATTGGTTAGAATGGGCTGGCTGGTGTAGCAGGAGCATCGGTGAACAGGAGCGTGAACTCGGCAGCCGGGGCCGGGCGCGCTCTGCAGTGCTGCTCGGCCTGATCTGGGAAGCTGCCTGCTGCTTGGACGGGAGACCGCCTGGAACACCAGGGCCGGTAGAGGTCTGAGCTTGGATGAAACGGTCTGGAGTGAGTGTGCAGGTGCTGCGGGAGGGGGTGGCGGGGCAGCTGAAGGGCTGAGAGGTCAGCCACGAGGCGCGGCATGAGTGCCGCGGGGCCAAGGGCCCCCAGCGCTCGGTGGCCCTGGGTGGTGAAGCGGGGCCGCGGTGCCCAGAGCCCTTTCCCCAGAGGTGCCTGGCTGATCTTAGAATCGACTGCTCTGAGCGTGTGTTTCACTTTGTGCTGTGAGATGCTTCATATGTACAAGCGCATTGGTATACCAGAAACCGGACTCCCTGCCATCGAGTCGGTTCGGACTCGTAGCGGCCCCCTTTGGGGTTCCGAGGCAGTAAATCTTTACGGAAGTAGATTGCCCAGTCTTCCTCCCGGGGCGCGGCGGGTGAGTTTGAAGTGCCAAGCCTTCTGCTTAGCAGTCAATGCCTTAGGCACTGTGCCACCAGAGCTCCTTGTGTGGGTATAAAGCCCACAAATATATGGAATGAGTGATTTTCAATATTCGTGTACCCCCTTTAACAAAATAGAATATCTTGTTTGGACCTACCCATCCCTTGAGGTTGATCATATCAGTTTTTCACACAGTTAAGGAGGTTTTAAACTTCAAAGGTATCAACAGTCAGGGTGAAAGCAGTTTTATCTTTGGTGTGTTTGTATGTGGCTTCCTCATCTGTAAAATGGGGTGCTAACAGCCTCGACCTCACAGCGTTGCCGCAAAGGCTGAGTGAGTCATTGCATTGCAGAGGGTGCCTGGCATCCGGTCATGAGTTTCTGCTCCTGCTACGCCTGCTGTCCGTTTTCACATGTACTTTGCTGATATTTTAAGGAGCTCTGATGCGCTGTAGTTAAAGCATTTGGCTGCTAACCAAAAGTCATCAGTTTGAACCCACCAACCGCCCCATGGGAGAAAAATGAGGCAGTGTGCTTCCATAAAGATTGACAGCTTTGGAAGCTTTGTGGGGCAGTTCCACTCTGTCCTCTAGGGGCGCTGTGGGTCAGAATCGACTCCACAGCAGTGGGTGTGGTTTGGACTTTGCTTCTGTGAAGATTGACAGCCTTGGAGACCCTGTGGGGCAGTTCCACTCTGTCCTCTAGGGGCGCTGTGGGTCAGAATGGACTCCAGGCAGTGGGTGTGGTTTGGGCTTTGCTTCTGTG